TGAGTACCTTTGTTGACATAGAAAGGAGCGACAAATCTATGGAGAAGCTAGTGATGAATGCAAATCAATTGAGTACGGATATCGACCTAGTGGTTTGGCCTTTTTTATATGATGTAAACACGATCACAGATCTGACTGAGTTAAAATCTCGCCCTGACTCTGCTCTTTTGATTGCATGACTGATCCCCCCATTCTCGCCCCCTCTCACCTGCTCTGTTTATCTTTTTGCTTGCTTTGATTCTCATGTTTGGACTCTCCCCTTTCCTGACAACGAAAGAGTTAGGGAGAGAGAGAAAGAGAGAGAGGGAAAGAATGATTGATATCTTCTCCTATACTTTTCTGACTGCTCCCCCTGATTCTTCCCCTTTTCCTGCTCTGCCCTCTCTCCTGCTCCCCTGTGCTGTGAATTTTTTGACCATGTCTGACTGATTTTGTGACCTACTCTGAGAAGAAGGGAAGGGGGAGGGAAAGGAGAGAGGAGGGGAAAAGTAGGGGAGGAGAGGGAAGGGGAGTAGGAGCAACAACGAAAAGGGGAAGCTGAGTCGTGTTGGATATGTGAAGTAGGGACGGTGGACTACAAGATCTGCGAGCAATATTTTTATTGAATCTGGAACTCGCTAGTCTCTCATTGAAATTATTGGCCATCTGACTCCAATTCTGCCCCGTGACCTTATTCTTTCCCTTCTCTCCTCTCCTTTTCTGCTCCTCTGATCTGCCCCACCCTGTCTGCTGCTTTTTTCTTCTGACCCTCCTTTCTTGACTCTTATTCTGCTTGATTCTTGCCCTTCCTCTTGACTTCTGACTCTCCTCGCTCATGCTCCCCTCTTGACCCTTGACTCTGCCTGACCTTGTCCTTTGCATGTTTGTTTGCACCACTTCCTTTCCCTCCCTTTCTTCTCCTTGACGCACACTTGCTCTGTGTGATCTGTTGAGTTCTGCGCTCCCTTGATCTGAATGCTCATTGTCTTCTCCCCTCTTCAGATGACATTCCTATTATTATAATGTGATCTTCTATCTTTTGCCTGTTTGGAATACTTTTGATTGCTTCTCTCTCTATAACCTTTGATTCCCCTTGTTTTCCCTGATACCCCATACCCCTGTCTGATGGCTCTTTGCTCTTCATGACTCTCATTTCTGCTTCCTGCACGTCTTTTGATCTGTCCATATTTGCTCTCCTTCTTCTTGTGTATTTCCCTTCTTCTGCTGGACTTCCTCTTTTTTTGTTTCCCCCACCTGAAGTGCTGCCCTGCTTCCATGTTGGTTTCCTTCTGCTGTGGATCGAGTACTGTCGATAGAGAACAATATATAGAGGATTATATTACACTGAAACCATACTCTTTCTGGAACCAATTGTTCTGGACATTGATGACTTCCTTACTGTTTGACCTATCCTCTCCCCTCTCTGGCTCCTCCAACCCTTGACTCTGGTCCTGTGACCTGCGGATGTTTGACCCCTTCTTCGATGACCTACACCCCCTATTGTGGATTTCCCTGCTTCCTTCTTGCTGACCTCTCCTGACTTTCCCTCAGCTTGTTCCTGCTTCCTCTGTGACTCTTCCTTCACCCTCTGTTCTCCTCTCCCTGCTCCCTCCTGTTGTTCTTTCTGCTTTGAAGGACACCCTTTCTTTGTTCACATCTCCTGCCTGTCTGACCCTGTCATTCTTAATCTTTGTGACCTGGCTCTTCTGATGAGCTTAAATGAATAATGATAATATGTTGCTATCATTAACATTGTCTAATTTTCTGTAATATAATGCTGTCCTGTATTATTCTTCCACTCTCTTTGACCCCCCTCCCTGCTTATCCCTTTGTAACTTATGTCTGATCTCTCCCTTGTTGCACTGCCCCTGTTTTGCACCTCTTGTTTATCTCACCTCTCTGGTTCGTTTCTGGATCCTGACCCCATTTCTCTTGTCCTTCTTTGATCTGATCTCCCCTCTCACCTGCCTCCTGTGATCACTGCTTGTCTCTGCTTCGTTGCCCTAATTTGACCCCTGTCTCCCCTTTTCTGGTGTTTCTCTCTCATCTTTGCTTTCACTGTCTTGCTTCTTTGCTCACGGAGGCTATAGCTGTGTTGAAGTGAAGCTCGCTGATGGCTGCCGTTGATGATCGCGCTGAGGAGAAGGCGGAGGAAAGGCCGGTCCTTTGCTCGCTGTCCTCTTCTTTCCCTTTTTTGCTATTGACTTCTCCTCCTTCTAGATGCTTATATTGATGAACTCTCGATCTCGTTTGGCCTCTGTACTGCTTTTCCCCATTTCTGCTTCTCCCCTTCCCTTGATCTGCTGTGTTTGATGATGACCCTTTGGTCTCCTTCTGTCCTGACTCTGCTTTTTCTCTCTCCTCCTGTGTTCCTCTCCCTGTGATGACTTCCCTCCTTTCATACTCCCGTGGTTCTGAACCCTATGACTCTTCCCTCTTTGGTTGTCTGCTCCTTGCTTTATTGCTGCTCTTGACCTCTTTTGCTCTCTCTCTGATTGTAATGCTTGACATGTCTCTCTTTCTGCTATGACCTTTCTCTTACAGTTCATGCATTCTCACTTCCCTATCTTGAATGCATCCTTTCTTGCTCTTATTCTTCTGATTTGAGCTCTGACTTCTTCCCTGACTCCCTCCTCTGGTCACGGGATATCAAAGTATATAATTATGGTACTGCCATAGTGGAATAAGTAAGAAATGAATGTTAGCATTGACATGACTCTCCTTTCCATGACACAACAATCTGCTTGACCTCTTTACTGATTCTGGATGTGATTCTGGTCCTTTGCTGTTGCGGCGTTTTCTCTTGCTCTCCCTTGAGCCTGACTGCTTTACTCTCTCTTACCCTCGTCCTCTTTGTGCTCCCTCCTTTTCTTTTGCTTGTTCTTGTATTCTGCTGCTTGCTGTGACTGGTTGCTCTCTCTTTTTCCATCTGACCCTTTCTGCCCTGAGCTTTGGAGTGTGACTCTCTTTCATTCTCTGTTCTATGATCCTTTCCCTTCTCTTTCTTGACTCCATTCTCGGTTTTACCTTGCTGTGCTTCTCCTACTGCTGTCCTCTCTCCTTGCTTGTGCTTTCTGATCTCCCTCCTTTCCCTGATTGTCTGGTGTCGATTTCTGCCTCCCTGTGCATTAATTATCTAGATTACGGCTTCATATTGTGGATCTAGCTTTTCTTCTTTGCTAAAACTGAACTGGTTTTCTCATTTGGTTTCTATGCTGTGACCTTGATGCTGATGTTGTATTCAAAGTGAGGAATGGGGGGGAGAGGATGGGAGATCTATGATGAGGGAGGCATATTAATAGAGATATTGTGTATTTAAATATTGTTAAAATGATTTTGAGTTCACTGTCTTTATGAATGATCTATATGATTGTTTGCCCTCCTGTTTTTGAATCTTCTGCCCATCCACTTTTCTCCATCTTTCTTGTGGCTGCCTCTCCTTCTTGCCCTCACCCCTCTTTGATCTCCCCTCGCCCTTTCCCCCTCTTGACACTGTGATTGCCCTGCCTGATGACTTACTACTTCTCATGTATGATCTGACTTCCTTTTCTATTGCCTCTGCTAATTAGTAATAATGATGTATATGTAGCGAGCTATTTTCTGTGACTTATGTCATAGACTAATTCAATCATCAAGTGATTAACTCTTTTCGCTTGGGACTATGACTATTTGATGTGAGATAATAGTAGAGCGATCCGAGCGGAGATGGAAGGAATGAGATTTAAGAATCAAGGATAAACCATTATCAAAGTGTTATGAGGAGGGGGTATATTTCTGACTTCACAATCTGTGGCTCGCGTTCTTGACCATGAACTGCCTTCTTGCCTTTACTGATATTGCCCTCCCACTCTGATTGTCCCTTCTGCTCCTACATCCGTCCTAACTTGGACCCTTGCGGGATGATGCACTCACCTTGAGGGAGAGTAAAGGGGAAGAGTGAGAAGGACTGCTCCTACCTTCTGATAATGCATCTCATCCTAGCCTTTTTGCATCCTCTATCTTTCTTGTTGACTTTCTTCCCTGCCTTTGCTCCCTCCTGATTTTTTCCCTGACCCTCCCCCTTTTCCTTCTTTTTGTCCCATTCCCTTTCTCTGACATTCTTTGCTGCCCCCCCCCCTCTCCCTCTTTTCTACTCTGCTTTGGCCTTGCCCTCTTCCCTCTCCTGGAGCATGACCTGCTTCTCTTTGCCTTGACTTCCTGCCCCTGATCTTCTTGCTTATTCTGCCTACCTCCGCTGAACTGATGATCTCCTTTTGTAATGACCTGCTTGCTTTCGTGCTCATCTCTCCACCTTAGGACTATATCTTGATCTCTTCTCATTCTCATGATTATTTTCTGCCCTGATACTTGTGGATCTGTGACTGCTGTCTATTTTTTCCTGATCTGTCCCTTACTCTTCTTGCTCCTCGATTTCCCTTGTGTTGACCTCGATGCCCCGATTCTTTCTCCCTCCTTTGTACCTCTGCCCTCTTCCCTCTGCTGCCTCCTGATGTTCTGTTTCACCTGTTCACCTCCCCATTTCTCCTTTTTTTTGTTTGGGCCCTCTGGCTTCTCATTGCCTTTACTTGTCGTTTGAATGATGTTGAGGTCCTGTCTGCTCTTCTTGCCCTCTCCCTCCTCTGTCCTGTGGTTCTCTCTCCGACCCTTATCATGTGGTTTCGCTCCTTGACATTGCTGCTATCCTGCCCTGTGCCTTCCTCTCTCTGTTCTGGTTCCGCCTTTTTCGATTGACCTTCTGTCCTGCCTTGCTTTTCTTTGATTCCCTTGACTGTCCTCCCCCTCTGAGTCAGACAGAGAGGGAGTTGGTTACATCATCATTACATCACTGTTTTCGAGTTGTTCAATACAGGGCCAGGGGCTAGGGATGACATCAATGGTGCTTTTGATGGCAAAACTGGAGTGTCCTTATTAGAGAGGTGTCCTTATTTCAGGGGTTGAATTGCATGCAAGAACTGTTCTTGGGAGAGAAAAGGTGTCCTTATTAGAGAGGTGTCCTCATTTCAGGGGTGCCCTTAGAGAGGGGTTCCACTTAAAAAGCAACGACATCATCACTTTTTCTTTGTCTATTCTTCCATTTTTACTGTCCTCCACGCGGGGACAAGCAGTCGTACTCGATAACTCACGTATACGCCCTGCTCATACTAATGTATGTATATATACCTGGATCATGACGTCCGTGTTCTCCAAACTCGTTCCCGCCACTCTCATTGGTCTGACAATACTCTTCTGCCCTCCGCGTGATCTGTACTTGTTCCTGTTGACCAGTCGAGACGCTGCAGTGGGGAACAGGTTAACCCTTTCAATACCACATAGCAATACTCTAATGTTAAAACCCTCTTCAAACTGGATTCCCTAACCAGTCCAAGGAACGCGACACTAAATTTAACCCTTTCAGAACCACATAGTTAACCCTTTCCAGTCGACTTACATCTCGTCAATGTCTCCCTGAATTGAGAAATAGAAAAACAAATGATGTCATCATTACAACACAGTATAAAACAACGCACTCTTTCACTTTTTCCTTCATTTCATACGTTGCCGTCAACTTCTGCACATTCGAAGGTGCTCTCAGACGCTTCTTGAATGCAACCTAAAACAATGACATCACAAGAAACAGGAATGATGTCGTCAAAATAACAAACAGTGGGTGAAAAAACATTATCTTACTCCTCCGTAGAGACACGTGGTGATCTGCAGCGTGCTTCTCTCTATTTCCATGGCGATTTCTCTCTCCTCCCTCTCTCTTTCAGTCCCTCTCCCCCATTCTCTCTTCTTCCCTCGTCTCTCCCTCTCCTTCCTCTCAAACACAGCAAACTCTCCTTTGCTCTCTACCACCCTGCCTCCCTCCATCTCTCTCCTCTCTCCCTCGTTCTCAATCGGCCCATTTTCAATCTTGTCTTCCTGGAGATGTCCAGTTTGTACGGTTGCAGATGATTCATTTTCATTCAACGTTGACCATCTTCTTCTTTCTCTCTCACACAGACTTCTTCTCTCTCTCTCTTTCTCCCCCTCTCTCCCCTCCTCCTCTCTCCCCTCACTCTCTGCTTTAACTTCACTCCCTTCTCTTTCTTCTCTGTCGCCCTCTCTCTCCCCACTCTCCATTCTTCCTTCTTCTTTCAAAATTTCTTCCTCTCCAATTCCTCTCTCCTTCTCCAAAACGTTCTTCTCACGTTCTTCGACTCTCTCCCTCTCTCTTACCTCTTCTTCCTCCGATTTCGCTTCTTCTTTCGCTGCTTCGGTTCCTAACCCTCCTCCTTCCTCTTCCCTCCCCTCCTCCACCTTCTCCGCTCTCTCTGGTTTTTCATCAGCCTTTTTATTCTTTTTTGAAAACGTCCATTTTCGACTCTTCTTCCTCTCTTTCTCTTCTTCAACTGTCGGAGGTTCGACAATCACAACAGGTGATGAAGGTACCTCCATTTCTCTATCCCTCGAACCATTTTTCACTGCCTCCATCTTTCCCCCCTCTTCCTCTTCTTCTTCGACTAGTTTGTCCAGTTTTGGAACTGGTTTTACGGGTTCTACGGCCGTCGGAGGTTGCGAAACTTCCATCTGCTCCTCGTCCTTGTCCTGCCCCGCCCTATCCCTCCGCCCCTGCCCCGCCCGGGAGTAATTGATTGCCTCGGGGTTCGACAGAAACAACTGACGGTAGTGAGGAGTGCAGAAAAACTTCCCCCTGTCACCAGCTGAACGAGTGGAGAGAGAGGGAGGGAGGGGGAATGGAATGGAACATGCAAGTGGAATGGGAATGGGACCAATGGGACTAATGGATCATGGAATTGGAATGGAACATGCAAGTGGAATGGGAATGGGGGAATTAAAGTCTCACATTTCTCTCCCTTGGACAGGGAATATCCCCCGATCTTGAGCTGGCAGTTACAGTGAGTGCATCTGAAACAGGTGCGGTGGAAGAAAAATCCGTTCGCACTCATTCTCTCCATCAGGTAAGACCTTCTTCCCACAGTAGTAACACACATCGCTGGAACTGGTTGCCGTTGTCGGGGGAACGAATTTCTGATTCGCCAATCTTTTAACCCCTTTCGGTTGCGTGTACGCCTTTTTCTTGGGCGGCTCGACCTCAGAGGGGTCGTCGTCGTGGCGACCGTTGCTAAGTGATGTCGTTGTTGCGGTTGCCGTGGGAGGTGGGGAGAGGCTGCGTCTCTTGACTGTCTGAGTGTTCCAGCTCCTCTCGACTGACTGAGGTGTTGGGGCGTACATGGCTGCAGCTCTGTGGATGAGGAGAGAGAGAGAGAAAGATTGTTCACACTTGCAATAAAGGAAGAGTTTTTCTGACAAAAAGCTTATCACAAGCTTAATCTATAAGCAATAGTCAAGTAAACCTCCTCCCTCCATAGATGTAGCCATAATATGTAGCCTTGCTAAAGTGTATAGATTCTCAAAATATTTGGATGAACTAACTTTCTCTTAGTGGGAGTGGCTTTCTGTGGTGGGGCTGCCTTGTCCGATCCTCCAGTGGGCGGGGCCAGACCGGCCGGCTCCGTGTCGGAGAAGAACTCGTGGAACAGACTGAGGTAGGTGAGGAGAGTTATTTTATCAGGAGTTTCCATCTCCTCCGGCCGGAGGAGCGGAGATATTCCGAAACTCTCCTCGGCAACGGAGAATGCTCGTCTGTTGTTGAGGATTGGATCAGCCGGTGTGAGCTGGGGGAATTCGGGACTGGAGGGGAGGGGGGACGGAATGATGGAGTGAGGGAGAGAGGAAGGGAGGGAGGGAGGGACGGAATATAGCAAGGAAGAAACTAAACCAGTGATATTGCATACTTACATTCGCCTCAAGCTAATACATATAACACGTTGTTCAAATGTACAACTAGAGGGTGCAAGGTTAGGTTTTAAATATTTATTCGCATTTATTTTCTCGGCACTTCACGATATGCTATTGGTTTTTTCACAATTATGTATATTTCAGGCTACGTATTGGTTTAAGTAGCCAATTTGGACAACTTCAGAACAAAGAGAGTGAAAGAAAGGCAGAGACTGACATAACTCAGGATGAAATCCGTGAATGAGGGCGCACAGGGCAAGACCGTCGCTCCAAGAGGTCGTAAGGTCGTTGACACGGATACCGTATCCATGGATATGAGTGTTTGCCCACTGGAGAAGAACGGAGGGGTTGGGCAGTGACATCTTATCTGTGAGGGAGGGAGGGGAGAGAGAGAGAAATAAAGAGGGAGTGTTTAATGGGGTAACTTCCGGGAAGGCAACGCATCTAACCATCTTAGACTTAGTTACCTCTAAACTCGGAATCTGATTGGTCAATTGCGTGTTACCGTAGAGTAAATACATTTTAAATTTGAGAATTTCTTCGGAGTAAAAAATGTCAGAGTATGGAACAGGACATGAAGGAATTTTTTGCTCCCAATCAAACTACTAACATCGTAGAATGCGTGCGTGCATGTATGCGCAACTTCTTGTCAATTCTTACTCGCTGGTTCGGAGTAGTAGGCGAGGTTAACAGAGCCTTCAGCCAGAGGTCTTCTGGAGGGACTTAGAGATGGGACGGGGATGGAGGGAGAGGAGAGGGAGGAGGGAGTGGGTGCCCTGTTCTCCTTGTTACTGGATGACGAGCCTGCTGCGGGAGGAGAAGAGAGGAGAAGAGAGGAGAGGAGAGGAGAGGAGAAGAGAAGAGAGGAGAGGAGAGGAGAAGAGAAGAGAGGAGAAGAGAAGAGAGGAGAGGAGAGGAGAAGAGAAGAGAGGAGAGGAGAGGAGAAGAGAAGAGAGGAGAGGAGAAGAGAGGAGAAGAGAGGAGAAGAGAAGAGAGAGGAGAGGAGAGGAGAAGAGAGGAGAGGAGAAGAGAGGAGAAGAGAAGAGAGGAGAGGAGAGGAGAAGAGAAGAGAGGAGAGGAGAAGAGAGGGAGAAGGAGAGAGAGTAAGCAAGATTTTGGCATCTTTAATATTATTGGATTATTCTCGCTATTTAAGATGAATAATAATGTTCAAAATGGGAGTGGCTGATGGCAACCCAAAGAAGAGCAGAAATTACCTGAAGATTTCATTTTGAACGAGCCTCGTTGGAGGGCGGGGCTTGTTCCTATGGTATCCGTGTCGTACAGATGTTTGACGCTCTGAACTGGCAGTTTTCGAAGTTGAAGATTGCAGTAGCGTGTCTGTTGTAAACAAACAAATAAACAAATAAACAAACATTTCCTGAATGAGATTTGGATATGATATTCAAGCTCTGCTAATTAGACGAGCTGTTAATTATTCATGGATGGTTTTATAGTCAGGACAAGACTATGTAATTCGGGACGTCCTGATTATATTGTCCACCAATTCGGGACGTCCTGATAACAACTCACGAAAGGGTTGATCGTATAAGTCTTTATGTTGTTCTGCAGTTTCTCTGGCGTTGTCTGCGGCAACTGTTGCGAAATGACCTCTCGTTCACACAGCAGCTCCGACATATTTCTACCCTGGCCTGGAATTCAGAGACGAAAGGGTTTTAAAAATGCAGTGGGGAAGGGGTTAAGTGGCAAACCAAGTCCTCTAATCATCCAGGCAGTGTCTTGTGCAGAGAGGAACCCTCGGCCCAGACCTGTACCAGTTGGCCAGAACGGCTGGAGATGAGAGAGAGAGAGAGAGAGAAGGAGAGAGAGAGATGAGAGAGAGAGAGAGAGGAGAGAGAGAGAGAGAGAGATGTGATTGGAGGAGAGAGATGTGATTGGAGGAGGAGGGGCCAATGAGAGACGCTTCTCTCCCCACTGAAAATTGTAACACGAAACTACAATTGTTGGGTGTGGCAAGTGGAAGTAGATCAAGTGAAAGTAGAGGTACAGTAATTACATTGTTACGGTCAGTTAATTAGTTGGTGGGTGTGGTTTGTACAACACATACCTCAAGAAGAGCGTCTCCGACCACGCAGAGAATGAGATCCCTGCCTCGTCTCTTGAGAGCTCTGGCCGCGTACTCCGCCTACATACATACGTAGAGGCAACGTTAGACTCTCACCTCAAAATGTGAACAGATCAACCGTGTTTCCTGCTACAAATTTAATCAATAAACTCTAAATTGTGAACAGATCAGACGTGTTTCCTGCTACAAATTTAATCAATAAACTCTTCATCAAATTGTGAACAGATCAACCATGTCTCCGGCTAATATTAACGAACAAATGCCTATTATGTAGTAGTAGTAAAATGTTTCAGAACTAAGACAGCCTGGCATCAAGCAAACCCACGGGAAATGATCGGGAGCTGTATCACACGAGCACTGGATGGCCATTCCAGTTCAGGTCTCGTTGAAAATGAAAGTACTATAATTATACCTGAAATATGGAGGTGAAGTCGAAAAGAGCGACATCGGGTTCATCGTAATGGTTTAGCTGCAGAGACAGAAAGAGAGGGGAGGATAATAGACAAACTTAGTGTGCATCTATTTGATGAAATTACGCAAACTCTATATGCTCTCCCTCTTTCTCTCTTAACAGAGAGAAAGAGGGAGAAACAAGTTACTCATCGTGGACTGACTGCAAAGTCCAGTTGAGGAGGCAAGCTACAACTAGGCCCGAGAGAGAGAAAGAGGGAGAGAAGAGTGGACTGACTGCAAAGTCCAGTTGAGGAGGCAAGCTACAACTAAACTCTACAGGCCTGAGAGAGAGAGAGAGAAAGAGGGAGAGAAGAGTGGACTGACTGCAAAGTCCAGTTGAGGAGGCAAGCTACAACTAGGCCCGAGAGAGAGAAAGAGGGAGAGAAGAGTGGACTGACTGCAAAGTCCAGTTGAGGAGGCAAGCTACAACTAGGCCCGAGAGAGAGAGAGAAAGAGGGAGAGAAGAGTGGACTGACTGCAAAGTCCAGTTGAGGAGGCAAGCTACAACTAGGCCCGAGAGAGAGAAAGAGGGAGAGAAGAGTGGACTGACTGCAAAGTCCAGTTGAGGAGGCAAGCTACAACTAGGCCCGAGAGAGAGAGAGAAAGAGGGAGAGAAGAGTGGACTGACTGCAAAGTCCAGTTGAGGAGGCAAGCTACAACTAGGCCCGAGAGAGAGAGAGAAAGAGGGAGAGAAGAGTGGACTGACTGCAAAGTCCAGTTGAGGCAGTTCAGTTGACCAGCCGGCAGCATCCACTGCATACTCGTACAACTCTTCTTTGTTGATGTTTGATGGATGGAGGAGATCCCTCGTGTCAGGGAGGTCCTGGGAGGAGGTCACATGACAATCACGCTAGTCTATGGTGAGGTCACATGATTATCACATGAGTTTGGGAGGAGAGGTCACGTGACTCATTTTTGGAGTAAATTACTCGTGAAGTAGGTCACATGACTTTTGTGAGAGTCACATGATTTCACACACTTTATATAGGAAGAGGTCACATGATGATCCACATGACAGTTCAGTATGGATCACATGACTATATGAGAGGGTCACATGATTATGAGGGCAGGTCACCTGACCAGTGTGTGTGGATCACATGACTTACAGCCACTAGAACTCCTTTCTTGAGGAGACTGTATTTCTTTGCAGTCATCACGAAATAGTGTGTGTCGTCTTTGTAGTAGACAATGTTCTCCAAGTCGATGCCCGTGTCCGCTTTCAGCTCCTGTGGAGAGGAGGGGAGGGGAGGTGGAGGAGGGAGGGTGAGGTGGAGAGAATGTTTGGCTAGCAAAAAAGGCTACAATATGTAGTGGAACCTCTGATCATGGAAACTGCCAGCAAACCTCTCACCTCTGTATATACTAGTTTCAATCAAGCCCAAACACCTAACGGGAAGTGTAGGAAACCACTGCATGAATTGTGTGTTTTGAAAGGAGCTCAAGCAAGATGACACGAGAACGGGGGATTGGAAACTGGGAACGGGGGAATGGAACCAGGACACGCACCTTGAAGAATTTCTGGTTGAAGATGAAAGCCACTCCACTGATCTCGTCCACGGCCACTTCCTCTCTCGTGAAGTAGTTGACGAAATTGGCAGTTATCGCCAGTGCCAGCTTACCTCTCAGTTCCTTCCGATCAAACCCTGAGGGATCACACTATTATTAATTACATCATCATGACATCATTAGATTACATCATCACGACAGACATCGTAGACTAGAGGCAACCAGGTGGCTTGTGTATGTGAAGGATTACACCATCGTTACGTAATTAGGATTACATCACCACGACATCGTCGGTATACCAGGTGGTCGGTCGATCAGTGTGAGAATGTCTGATGTGTAATTATCGTAAGTTTGTAAGAATGATGTCGTGGGTAATTGAGGACAGAAATTCGCCATAGAAACTGCATTCCTCTTCCCCCCTCCCCCTTCTCCCTACTTCGGCCTAATTCCAAGTGTGTAAGTGGGCATAAGGCACACCCCCATCAGCCTAGATACAGTTTCAGTGAGTATTAGTCCACTTTGAAAAAAAACGGACTTTTGCTAACATACATTGTGAAAGTGAAAATAATAGTTAAGGGAGCCTCTACTAAAGGAAACTCAATGTCCCAATGTGTCTACATGTGTGTGTGTGTGTGTGGGTACCTGGAACGGTGCTACGGCGACCGTCGGCTCCAACCAACACGTCAAATTCAAACTGGTTTAGAAAGTGGTCAGACGGGTTTAGCTTGGCGCGCCAACCACTACAGAAACAAGGGAGAGAGAGAGAGAGAGATGAACAGTTATTGATTCAACCATTACAATGTTGTTGTGTAAGAAATTTGTGCTGTGAAGTGTATAAACAAAGGCATTGACTCACGTGTCCGCGTTTGGTTCCAGAACCTGGAGGAACTCCACTCCGGCATGGAACGAGAGTCCGAGGAGGAGACTGATCTTCAACAGGATGCACTGCAGGGAGCGAATGCCTACAGAGAAATGGTGCACATCTTGACTTTTAGTTTCAGCATAATGTTAGTAGTTACGTAATTGTATGTTGAAAATCGTAATACACATTTAAAACCCTTTGGACACTATGGGTATCTTCTTAAAATAAGCAGAATTTTATGTATTAGCACCTAGTATTATAACCCCACATATAAATTCTTATTGACTTATGGAGGCTCTGGACACATTTATGTGTCGGGTGGCTGGTTAAGTGTTAACGTACAGATATGGTCAATGGCTCCTGCACAGAATTTCCCGCAGAATTTCTTGGCTCCGAGTTGTCTGAGGTCTTCGATAGTGAAAGGCCACAAATGGAGGACGTTGTTCCGAGAGAAAGAAGGCCTCTTCTCGATGACTCTCACGTCACATCCCAATAGGAGACAGTCTATGGCAAGTCTTAGACCGACCGGTCCTCCTCCAACTGAGAGAGAGAGAGAGAGAGAGAGAGAGAGAGAGAGAGAGAGAGCATAAGTGTTTTGTAACCAAAAAAAATTTGATCTGATTGAAAATGAAAGAGAGAGAGGAAGGAAGATTGAAAGCTCACTAGTTGGCGAAATAACATACAATAAGTATACAATGGAAAGTGTACATACATATATACACTTGAAGACATGTTTATGTGGCGGTGGGTGAAGCTAATCATATCAAAGATGACACAGCTGTTGGCCAGTCATCAAAGGAAGTGGTAGTCCAGGCAAAGGAAAGGGACTTGGCCAACTGATCTACCAACAGACCCTGCCATATAGTCTCTATATATACCTCAGTCACATGTTTACCCTCTCACAACAGTATACATTATCCTCCCACAACAGTATATAGTATCACAAAAGGCCTTACAAGAGAGAGAGCATGTGGTTGTAGTGAGGCTCTTCATCTGACTATTGTGTACCATTGAGAGGTATCACTTGCCTTAGATGCAGCTACAAACACCCCCTCTTCCTACCCTCCCTACCTCTCTTTGCTAGCATATACAATATACCTCCCTTTACTCTCAATCTTTACTTCCCCCTCTCTCCTTCTCCTCTATTGTGCAGTCCTCACACCTATCTCCACCCTATATTTCATTTTCCCTATCCCTACCTTGTCTCCATTTCTTCCCCCTCTCGCCCCTATTTCACTGCCCTTCCCTTTGTCTAGTCTTCAATTTACTGCAACACATATTCTACATGAAATGTACACCTCTCATGTACAGCCTTTACATAAACCACAGAAGTCTTTACAAATCCTACGACATTCTATATACAAGTCTCGTACATTTCCTACAAGATTTTTACAAGAACTACACCAGTCTTACATGTTCAACACCACTGCATGTACATGTTGTAAACATCTCGGAGCCAAAGGCCAGCTGGCAAAACATTCCTTCATATCCTCCACACACAGACAATGTATCCTCAACATATGCAGCTCTTTAACACTCTCCCTCACACCCTTTCCAACAATAAATCCCTTTCAGGCCTACAGTTCAGGTTTTAACCCCCATGAGACCATGGAGGCAAAAATCACTCCTGATTAATTCCAATCTTGAAAATTGCACAAATATTTTCATGTAATCCTGTAAATTGCGTCCAAGAAAAGTTACTCTTGCATTCAACGATTAGTTAGCAGTTTAATTTGTAACCATTCACATTTGCTCATACGTGAACCGCGGCATTTTTGACAAACAGTGTGGCAAGAGAGCGAAGGGTTAAATTCAGAGTAACTTGCAGATTATCAGCTGCAATCATGTAGCATCAGCTGTAGATCTCGTTCTCTGATAATGTACAGCTTACTACAGCCAATATTACAGGCCTTGTGCGTAGCTTGCCCAGGAATAGGAGACTGAATACATTTGATCAGTTACCACACACTATCCAGTTATACATTGGTTTACTAAATTCTTAAGATTCCACAGTCACTCCTGAGGATTATAGTCAAGGTATTCAGGATGGTTCGTTGGTCTGTCCTTCCCTCCACTTGCTTGCTAAAACTACGAACAATTTAGGCCACCCTATTCTTTCACTGCACACTCCAGCTATAGTCAAGGTATTCAGGATGGTTGGTTGGTCTGTCCTTCCCCCCACTTGCTTGCTAAAAGTACGAAAAGTTTAGGCCACCCTATTCTTTCACTGCACACTCCAGCTATAGTCAAGGTATTCAGGATGGTTGGTTGGCCTGTCCTTCCCCCCACTTGCTTGCTAAAAGTACGAACAATTTAGGCCACCCTATTCTTTCACTGCACACTCCAGCTATAGTCAAGGTACTCAGGATGGTTGGTTGGCCTGTCCTTCCCCCCACTTGCTTGCTAAAAGTACGAAAAGTTTAGGCCACCCTATTCTTTCACTGCACACTCCAGCTATAGTCAAGGTATTCAGGATGGTTGGTTGGCCTGTCCTTCCCCCCACTTGCTTGCTAAAAGTACGAACAATTTAGGCCACCCTATTCTTTCACTGCACACTCCAGCTATAGTCAAGGTATTCAGGATGGTTGGTTGGCCTGTCCTTCCCCCCACTTGCTTGCTAAAAGTACGAAAGTTTAGGCCACCCTATTCTTTCACTGCACACTCCAGCTATAGTCAAGGTATTCAGGATGGTTGGTTGGCCTGTCCTTCCCCCCACTTGCTTGCTAAAAGTACGAAAGGTTTAGGCCACCCTATTCTTTCACTGCACACTCCAGCTATAGTCAAGGTATTCAGGATGGTTGGTTGGCCTGTCCTTCCCCCCACTTGCTTGCTAAAAGTACGAAAGGTTTAGGCCACCCTATTCTTTCACTGCACACTCCAGCTATAGTCAAGGTATTCAGGATGGTTGGTTGGCCTGTCCTTCCCCCCCACTTGCTTGCTAAAAGTACGAAAAGTTTAGGCCACCCTATTTTCCACAGTTCACACAATCACGCACATCCCAAAAGCAAAGGAGCAAAGGAGCAAAACGCATTCTATTTTCTCCAAGTGGATCGACACGGGAAAGAACTAATGTTTTTCCTGAAAATGCTGAAACTAAATCGTTCATTCCCCAAAAACTGCTGCAAAAAAAAACAAACGTGTACCTACATGAAAAACTCGAGAACTGCCTCTGTTTGTTCGTTCGTTCGAGCCAATTCACGGGGAAAGAAAAGGCGTGTATACGCAGTACTTAGAGAAAGGTTCTCATTGGCTGAATAATGTAAACGCATTAGCGTAACAAGCTTTAATGTGAAGTCACTCATGGGAGGGAGGAAAGCTATAGAGATCTAAAGCATGTATATGGTACATATGTATCGTATAGAGATCACACAGGTGCTGGGTTTATTCACACAATGGCGAGGTCCTGGAGTTAGTCAATGGTGCAAGGTGTTTGCGACAGTCTTAAACAAACAACGCGGCTACAGTGAGAGAGAGGAGAGAGAGAGTGTATGCTGCTTTCACGCCATAGAGGGTGGCCTGTACGCATGTGTATGGAGGGATAATAGTTGTATGTATGGTACAGTGATACGTATTACGGTCGATTGTTAAGAAATGTCCTGACTTAGTGACTTAAGAAAAACCCTTGTGTTTACATTACGTCTGCGTATTGTTGGTTTTCAGGTCATTTCAGATGGCTATTGTACATGGTGCTTCCTCCTTCCTTACTCCTTCCTCTACCTCTCTGATCTCCCTTCCCTTTCTCTTCTTCTCTCTCTCTTCCTTTCACCCTCCCCCCTCTCTCTCTCTGCCTTCAACTCACCTATCAGCACCTTCACTCCCTCCGCGGCCTTCTGGCCCATATACTCCTGCTGGTTAGCTCTCTTCTCCAACAGCTGCAGAGCGTCCCGCGCTTTCCACGTCTTTTGAGTACACAGCTTCTCCCTCAGGGCTCCAAACAGCTCCAGACCGCGCAGCTCTTCCACTCCCAGCTTCGCCTTCAGCTCTCCGAAAGCGCGGAGGACGCTCTCCAGACTCGTTGCCTGTGCGAAGTAGTCGTAGACCCTCTCTACGGGCAGCTCGCTCCAAGCCACGTTGTCCATGTCTCCCGAGGCCAGGTCCTGGAGGATGGAGGGAGAGACGCGCCCACCGGCCGAACTGGCTCGCGAAGAAGGGCGACTCGGCTCCTCCAAGTAGTCGTACGGGTACAAACTCCCGTCCTTTTCTTCTCCGACAATTTGTGGCGGTTCTCTCTCGTCTCGGCGGTTTCCGTCTCCACCGCCCGGTGCCGGATCATCGGGAGAGTGTTCCATTGCTCAGTGGCGCCGGGTTCTTATACACAAGAGTTGCTAACACCTCTGCGGACACAAGTGACTATTTGCCAACAGCGTCGTCAATAGCCGGCCACCTCTATAAAAAGAAGAGGCGCGGCGTAACGAGAGATGAAGGCCGTAATTCAGCTGAGCCACAATAAAAGATTTCCGGGACGGATGCTGTGTGAACTTTGACCCGAGCCCCTCCCCCTTTTCTCCCATCCCACTCCTCACTATAGGGACGAGACTAGGTTGCAAACATAGTGTCTCATAATTATGTCATGGTTTGCACCACATCTGTCACAAACACAAAAATTCTCATTAGGGATGTGGAAGGAATTTCTCTCCAGAAATGAAACAGCTATAATTATAATGCATCATACATGTCTTAGGGAGACACAAATAAGTTCATAATATATACAAAGTTCAGGATGTTTCACATGATTTGAACACCAATAGGTTTGGGGTGTTCGGTTGGAGTCCATCGACCTTGTTTTTTGTAGACCTGTCGTGGAATAGAGCAGAGAAAGGGGGGAGAGAGTTTCACGAAAACCGTTCTAAGAAATGAAATCTGCAGACATAATACTTACTCTTCTACGATATGAGCTTTCAGCTCGGCTGGAGTATAGTCAGACTCGCTCAGATACTTGGCCATCACCCCGGCAACATGAGGCGCAGCCATGGACGTGCCTTAGAGACAGAAAAAAGAGACAGAAGAAAATGACAGAATAATCTAAGAGTTCAAAACTTATTCTTAAATTAAGTAGCAACGATAAATCCAAATATACCAGAAATGGTGTTCGTTTCTCTGTTGAGCCAGGTAGACGTAATGCCGACTCCCTTCACATTGCAGTGAACAAGAGGAAACATGCAGTTAAAATGACAATGAGGTAAAGATGACGTAATGGTCTTACAGGAGCAATGATGTCAACGCAAGTGCCGTAGATTGCTGAAAGAGGCAAACTGATCTGACCTGTCACTAGCACCAACTGTTACACTGAAGAAAGGAAATTATTATTATTATCACATTGCAGATCTATATTATATATACAAACTCGGTGCCTCGTAATTACCACTCCATGTCTAGAGAGAAGGAAAATATAAAAGTGAAAGTCGACTGACCAGAGCTGTGCACTGGCTGGTGACACATTGCAAGCATCCTGCCCTTCGTTTCCAGCGGCAACCGCAAAACTGACTCCCTACAATAGGCAAAAAACACACTCTCTTTCTCTCCTCTCCTCTCCTTCTCCTCCTCTCTTCTCTCGCTTCTCTCTCCTGCGTCTCTCTCATCGCTCTCTCTCTCTCCTTCTCTCTCTCCTTCTCTCTCCTTCTCTCTCCTTCTCTCTCCTTCTCTCTCTCTCCTTCTCTCTCCTTCTCTCTCTCTCCTTCTCTCTCTTCTTCTCTCTCTCTCTCTCGTCTCTCTCGTACCGCTGTAACAGCAGCATCTACTGCATTATTGAGTGACGTAGACCTCCCTCCTCCGAGAGACATGCTGTGGAATGGAACAGAGACATGTCCTGTGAACTGGAATGGAGACATTGGAGACAGGTGTGCTTACTTGGCAATGGATTTCGTTCCCCTTCCCCTCCTAGATGCTTCTCCTGGTACGTAGTCAATTCCTGCAATCACACCACTAAAGAAGGGAGGCAAAAGAATCTCGTTGTCACAAGCCTCTCCCCCATAAGCAAATGTGAAAATCTACTCTGGCAGTCAAGGTGACTGGACGTACGTTGTCGATCCAGAGCCACCAGCGTCCAGAACACGGACCGCAATTGATGTGGCTCTCTTAGCCAACCCCCATGTGTTGGACATCACCGTACCTGCATAATACACAGTTCTCTCAACATCCTACTCCATACAGTTGAGAGAGTAACTCAGAAACATATACAGTAGCTATATAATCATTAATGCACTACAGAAGAAAGATATACAGTAGCTATATAATCATTAATGCACTACAGAAGAAAGATATACAGTAGCTATATAATCATTAATGCACTACAGAAGAAAGATATACAGTAGCTATATAATCATTAATGCACTACAGAAGAAAGATATACAGTAGCTATATAATCATTAATGCACTACAGAAGAAAGATATACAGTAGCTATATAATCATTAATGCACTACAGAAGAAAGATATACAGTAGCTATATAATCATTAATAGCACTACAGAAGAAAGATATACAGTAGCTATATAATCATTAATGCACTACAGAAGAAAGATATACAGTAGCTATATAATCATAATGCACTACAGAAGAAAGATATACAGTAGCTATATAATCATTAATGCACTACAGAAGAAAGATATACAGTAGCTATATAATCATTAATGCACTACAGAAGAAAGATATACAGTAGCTATATAATCATTAATGCACTACAGAAGAAAGATATACAGTAGCTATATAATCATTATGCACTACAGAAGAAAGATATACAGTAGCTATATAATCATTAATGCACTACAGAAGAAAGATATACAGTAGCTATATAATCATTAATGCACTACAGAAGAAAGATATACAGTAGCTATATAATCATTAATGCACTATATACAGAAGACCATTAAAATGTCTCGTGGCTTGCATTAAGTAGTATATAGGAATTTCGTGCGCCTTGGGTATTCCACTTCAGACGTACGATATATCAGTATTAATTACTGTAGACCCAATATACCAGCAACGTGGGTTCCATGGCCATTAAGATCAGTTCCAGGTGAAGGACTGTCGACAAAGTCAGCGCCCTGAATAACAACAAGACGAACAGGTAAAACCGGTTTTGTACACCGGTTATATCAGCATTGAACCAACCCATATGGCTCTGCCACCAAAGTCAGGATGTTGAGTATAAATACCACTGAAATGGGAAGAATGAAGAATAATGTCGGAAAATGTGAAGATTACTTGTTACTCACGTGTCGATGATGTACACATCCACTCCGTCTCCGGCTGCAAGAAAGAGAAGAGGAACATAACCCCCTATCCAAGCAAGATTCTAACAGCTGTTTCGATCTCTCTCGATCTTTCTCCCTCTCCCTCCCTCTACTTCCTATTATTACATCAACTCACCTTGAGTTTTATAACTGTAATCTTCAGATTGTGGCAAGTTAACCATCGTTGTTCGAACAATTCCCTTAATTCATAAAATTTACAGTAAAAAATATTTACACATTTTTCTCGAAACTCTTACCCAAGTAGCACCTGTCTCTAGAGTGCACGGTGCTTGCATTGTGTGGTAGTACTGTAGTAAAAATAGAAACACTAGTTACTATTTTTAGTGCAGCATACATCAATGTGATGTCATACCTGACTACACTCGATGTAATTAACATTTTTCATCGACCGGACAATATCCCTCAGCCTGTAAAATCAGTGAGAAAAGGGTTAATGAATGAATCAGATCGTACATTATGGCTCACGTACTTGTCGTCCATTTTTGCTCCGTAACCACGGAAACTACCAATGTGGTACTCGTGCATCACAAAGTTTGTCTTGTTGCCGTGGTAACTCATCATATTTTTGACGGTCCGAACATGAGAAAATACTGAGACAAAAAACCAAAAATTAAGATCCGCCCAAATTGGCGCATCTTAAGAGGGCTCATAATTTTGATAAAGGTAAAATAAATGGTTATCAAGCATGGCACAAGGCTTATTGCAACTGTTTGTTGTAACCATTGGAGATTAATACTATTGGGGGAAACTGTGTGGGTATTTACCATTTGCAGATAAAGGGAGCTACAACTGTTTATTGTGGCTTATAAAGCACTGCTATAGATTGCACAATACTATGGGCACGGCAGTGTTTCATTATGTGGAGGGAATGCAAGACATGCAATTGATAAATGTATTCATGTCTCACATGACATCGAATTTGGACAATGCCTACACATCTTAAAGCATAGCGCAGCTTAATTTACTGTCCCTATACCAGGGGTACACTGCTATTTCTATACTGTATCATTAGGCTGATCTGTAATGATAGTTTTGATGACATGATCATATTTAGCTCTTGCCTATTGTTCATAAAATGAAAAATGCATCCAACTGTAATCAGCAATAATTTTGACGTTTTTTTCCCAACGCTATATAGCTAGTGGTTTTGCTACGATGTAGCTAGCTAGTGCAGTATTGCTAACTATTCTACGCAGAACATGCATAGCTACTTTACCGTCATCATCCGTGACACTTTCATCGAAGATAACCACGTATTCTCCAGGAACACGTGACGTTGAGTCTTCGGCCAGTAGCGGAGCTGGAGAGAGATGGAGAGAGAAAGAGGAGGTTGGAGATGAGTGCTTGTTTGACTTACCCAACGAGGTGGCGCAGGCGCAGACGGCGAGCGCAGCAACCAACAGCAGGATCTTCATGACGAAAAGAGAGGGAACTTGCAAAGGCGAGTATTGGGCTAGTCTGCACACAAGATCCTCCGATTCTGGGCCGCGGTGTGGTGTTTATTTTGTACGTACGTACGTACGCGTGACCCCCATGACGTAAAGAAGGGTGGGGCTCGTTTTTCGTAAGATTACGTCACAGTCGTCCGACATGCGCATGCGCATTATGTTACTCCGCGCTCGCGTACTCCGCGCGTGTGCGTGCGTATTGCGAGCAATCATCTGTTTATCTTTCCGGCTAAGGAGGCGCCTCTGACCAAAAAGCGCAGAGAGGCAAGTGAACGTTGCAGCCAGGAGGGGGTAGTGGGGCTGACTGTAGCTCCAGAGGCTAGCTGGAGGGACTAACAGGAAGAAAAACGAGTCTCGAGCGACCACACGTCGGCAAGGCGACGCTAGAGTACTCGTTAACGACAGGGACTTAGGGAATTTCTCGGTGACGTGAAGAGTGAGGGTCAGAGGACGTGGGGAAGACATGACGGATTTCGTGAAGAAGAAAATTGTCGAGAAATTGGCAAAGTGAGTATATAGTTAATATTCGTTAGAAGCATCACACTTCATTATTTTTCTTGTTCTCTTTCCACTCCATCTCCTCCCTCCCCACTCTCCCCTCTCTCCCAAGATTCACCAAAGATCTCAAGCCCAGTGACATATCGCTGGCCGTCCTCACTGGAAAGGGAGTCCTCACAAATCTCGAACTGAACTGCGATTTCATCACCCAGGTTCTCCAGCTGCCGCCATGGATACGGGTTGCCAGGGTGATGTGCGACCGAATACGGGCCCACGTCCCGTTTACAAATCTCAGGAACGACCCGATTCAGATTGTGAGATAAGATTGTGAGATACAGAGAACAGCCTCTCAATATGGGACACTTTTTGGGACATCTAAACCGTCCTATATTCAGAGGTGTCCCGTATTCGGGGATTGCACTTAATGTGGCAGGACCAAGTGTCCTTTATAGAGAGGTGTGCTTTATTTAGAGGGTCCCTCATTCGTTGGTTTCACCTCTAAATATGTGGTTTGTTGTTTCCTTGTCGAAAACGACATTTTTCAACGTTTTCACTCTGTCTGTTACAGAGTATTGGAACTGTTGAGATAGAGGTTACCACGGCAACGGGCGAGACGGCTCAAAAGAGTTCTGGCAACATTCTCGACAAGTTGGGGTGAGGGAGTGTCCTGAACTGTAATACATACCTGTCCTGAAATAATGTTCAGGACAAGCACAATATCATACAGGTTCAGTTGTAGCTACAAAGTGACCTGATTTGTGGTGTCCTAAAGCACACACTGTCCTAACTAGTTCAGGACGTCCTGAAGAATCATAACCTATAGTTCAGGACGTCCTGAAACCGTACTCCCTCTCTTTCTCTCTCCGTTAAAGGTCCAACTTGCCGTCAAAGTACGGATTCTCAGAGAAAGTTATAGACGGAATGAAGGTCGAGATTCGCTCCATCGTCGTCAATTTCCGAGATCCTGCGTACCGGGCCCGGCTCGAGATCTCCGATATCACGATCCAGAGTACGAATCCGGAATGGAACCCGGCCACGCTCGCTCACACTCGCTACAAGACGACCGACGAAGAGTCAGTCATCATCTACAAGATGTGCAACATTGGAAACGTCAAGTTGGAGGGGTGGGTTGTGGATGATGAGGAGGGAAAGGAGGGAGGAGAGGGGGCAGGAGGAGGAGGAGGAGGAGAAGAGAAAGTGATGGAGGAAGGGAGTGAAGGTGGGAGTGGAGGGAAAAGTAAAACTGAAGATGCGAAAGTGAAACTGAGGTTGATTGCTGGAGAAACAAACATCAGATTCACTCTCAAACGGCGTATCGAGGACTGCAGTGTTCTCCATTCCCGTGTGGTGGTACGCGGCTCGGGGACGTGATGTGGGTTCTGAGCTCGCCAGCTGCAGGCGTGTCTCGACTCGTTCAGACACTCATGACTGCCGCCGTCCTTACCGCACAGAGACAGAGGGAGGTATGGAATAGAGACACGGGTGGTATGGAATAGGGACAGGGGTAGTATGGAATAGGGACAGGGGTGGTGTGGAATAGGGACAGGGAGGTGGTATGGAATAGAGACAGGGGTTAAAGTTGTAATTGTGTAGTGTAAATGCCAGAGTATACAATCCATAAAGTACTTACGTATGATACGCAACACTTATGAACATTTGCTGATTACATCATTCATAATAATGCCAAATATGGTCAGCCTTGAAGGCCGACTACTTACTCTGTGTACTTAGTAAGATACTGCCATCAACATTGGTCAACAGCATGGCGGGTATTATGTGTGTGTCTGCTACCTGAGTGTGTTGTTGTAACCGTAGAAGAGAGCGTTGCTAGG